AAGACAAGACCAACACATGTTCAAAATTGCATTCCAAAGCAGCACACACGTAGTTGGTAGTGGATCATTTATTTCTTTTTAATGCAAATGGGGATGTAAAAAGAGGCCATCCACACAGAGAAGGGAAATATTTTACTTTGTTGTGTGACTGCATTCATGCTGAATTGCAAATACGAATTGCAAAGTGAATGAACTGCAGAGTTGATAGAGCAGATTTTTATAAAGTGAGATCCTCTTCCTAACTTCACATGTATTTCCATTTACATTACTCATCCCCTGACTAATCAAATGCTTTGTGTCATTGTGTCATCTCACCGTTCTCTTCCTTGTGTATGATATTGAGTATCTCCACCTCTTGAATCGAATTCAGAAGCAATAACACTGAGTGAAATACAAGCAGTGGAGTCCTGCTCTCATTAGCAGAAATTATATCCAGCTCCTGCTGTGACCTTACTTATAAGTACATATGATTTACTACACCAGCTTGAACCATCATTCCTTCCAGACCAATACCCAGCTCCAAAGCATGGCAAAAAATCCATATCTCAATACCTGTGCAATCTTGCAATTCACCTAATGGAGCAAAAACCCCATTCTTCATCTCTGCAGCCAGCAGCTGATATTTTCAAGAAGGGAATTTGATCTTCCTCTTTTATCTTAGTATGTCCGAATGCAACATGCACCTCTGACATTCTGGAGTTCCAGGCATGCTGCACCTCTGGTTTTTTGCTGTGCAGGGGCTTTGCTGACCCCCTCCGGCCACAAGCAGAGCTCCTTGGAGAGTAGCTCACAGAGCATCCGTGTGGCTCAGTGTGGATGGACCATGATGAAAATCCAGATTATTCTGAAATCAGCCTTAGCTGAAGCCAGGTTCAATTCAAGCCTGCAAAGAGGCAATACAAATTTTTGTCCCAGAAGCCAAAGGAATACTGTCTCTAGTCTGTAGGAAGGATGAATAGAAATGAAAAGTAAGAGCTCACTTCTTTCTCTATCAACCTTACATCCACTCCAGAGGCCTTGCTAACCTGTGTAATCCAGCAGATAATAAAATCAGATAATATATATAAAAACAGCACATTACAGCCTTTCTGGCTGATTTGTGAGCAACCTTATATCCTTGTGCTGTTCTCACAGGAGAAAATCTGGACATGAAAGCATTCACTCCCTATTATATCCAAAGTCCATCTTGGGAATAATTTCCATTTACATCTGACCCTTTGTATCCCCAAACCAGTCCCCAGTCCCCCATACCAGAAATGCTGACTCCCTTGATCCTGACCTGGTTTGCCTTTCACTTGCCCAGATGATAACCTGGGACTATAAATAATTTGCACAATCCTCCCCTGGCCCCTGCCCATTTACTCATTCTGAGGCAGTATCCCTTTTCCTTCAACTGGAAATGATCAAAAAATCAGAATAAAACTTTCCTGCAGGTAAATATAGTAATTACTTTCTAATTGTGTCTTACCTGCTCATATAACAAATCAGTGCAAGCTCCTCATTACCAGCTCTCATTGGAGATCATGCACAAGGATAACCAGGCACTTGGAATTAATAATGTGTTTGAAGGGGGCATAAGTAATAAATCATCCAAATTACTTTCAGTGAGCAGATGAAATGACAGAAGTACCTTCAGGGTTTATAGAAGTTAGTCAGCCTGTGCATGATGACAGCATTCCTCCTGGCTGTAATATCAGTGTTTCTGTACCTGCAGCTGAAGAATTTAAGCACAACTTTTGCAAGTAGAGGAGAAGAAGGTCTGCACTGTTGAAGTAGGGGATCCACAAGTGGGGTGCTCTGCTCTGCCTCACCAGTTGTCATACAGTGTGTTACAATATTTGAAATCAGGGTCAGGAGTTAGTGGGAAAATTTACCATAGGGTGGATAGATAGACAGACAGGGTCTGTTCCTTTAAATGTTTCCTTAGAAAAGACAAGTTGAAATGACTCTGCTGTAATGAAAGAGTAACCTGAGTCCAGAAAAAGCATCCTTGATTGGTGGGTAAGTCAGTGTAAATAACTTAGAGAGGAAGAAATTAGGTTTGTAAAAGACGTGTCATCTGGTGCTGGAATCAGATGCTTTGGACTTGGTTGACTCCAACAGAAAGTGAAAGGATTTTGGAAGGAGTGCAGCAGGCACAAGAGCTGTGTGCTTTTGGAAAGAGGTTTATGCATGAAGAAGTGGCTCCTACTTCCTCATGCTACCCACCACTTTCCAGTTCAGCAGGCACCAGGCATCTTGCCTTGCGGGGGCCAGGAGCAGCTGATCCGTAGTGTGCTGTTTCTTTGAGAAGCAGCAGCTCCAGTTTCAGCTGAATTAGTGTTTGACCACTTACCCTCTAATATGTGAAAGAAAAATGCTTCCTAATGCATCACCATGGAAAAGCTGTCAGGCCCTGTTCTAGTCCACTCTTTATGCCAATGTAGTGTGCTCTATAGAGCTTGTTGTTCACTTGGTGTTCTGTGAAAACTGGTTCTGAATGTCCAAAGCAGTGGGATTTAATCTCCTGGAAAGTATCACAATACAGGGGCTGCAGTTCACCTTTTTAAACATCACTTCTATTTATCCCTTTATGGTTTGCTTTATGATAATGCAATCTAAATAGGTAGAGGGATATGAGGTGGGATTCCTCTCACCTATTTTTCTTCACCTGAAGGATAGACATCAATTTAAAACTCATCATCCTCAATGTGACCTCTTTTGCTAATGCAGGAGAGGTGCCTCTCTGAAGTACAAGTCAGCCTCTGGATGGAGCAAATTGCCTGCCAGAGCCACGGCTACCTTTGACCAAGCATGTGACTTTTACATATGTGAAGTTACTCACTATTTGGGGAGCTTTCAGAAATCTTTTTAGGATGGCTTTGAATCCTCCTTTCCCCTTTCTTATCAGTGCTTGGGAAATGGACACCCTAGCTTGAGTTAGCATCAGTGACACCAACTACATCCTGTCTTTGGCAAGGTCCTATTTTAAGTTTTTCATCAGAGGCCACAGCTATTTGTGTCATTGTCAAAACTCTTCAAAAGGTCCGGTGACATTGATGGTAGGTCTCTTAGAAGCCAAAGGTTCTGCAGTAACATAAATAGGATCAGCAGCACTAAGTGCAGGTGAAAGAAAAGCCAGCTGCACATCCTTTCTGTCTCCCTTGGCAACAGCATCCTGCCAACAAAAACTGCTGCCAAGTCAAGGCTGGAGAGGAAGGGATGTGCATTTGCAAAGCTGGGGCTGGACAAGCTTTGTGTGAGGGGGGAGCTGTCAGACCAAGGAATGCTCATGTGCTTTTAAAAATATTTTTGGTTTGTTCCATGTGTTTTTGGACAAGGGAATGCACAGAGCCTCTGTTCTTATGAAGAGTTTTTATCTGAAATTCCAAATGACAGTCTTTGCAGTTTTGGACCATATGTTTCCATCCACGACAGCACTCAGGGAAGAAATCTGTGGTGAATTACTACTTACAGATGTGGCAAATCCCCCAGTAAAGGTTAAAATACGTGGCATGGTTCTCTTGTTACATCAGCTGCAGCTTCATGCTAAATCATTGTTTCAGCCGCAAGCTCTTAATCAGCCCTGAGTTCTAGAAACTGCTAAACAAGCTGATATTTTTAAGGACCTTTTCTTTTTTTATAATGCACTAAATATCTTTATTTAGAAAAACCTTCAGGCTGGAAACAGTAAGGGAAAAAAAGTGAACTGCAAATGGTAGGGAGAAAAGGAGCATCATCACAAAAGCACAGAAATGCAAAACAGACCTAAGATTATTATTCGTACTGTTTTTCCACATCCTTCATTAAATTATCAAACCTGTGAAGACAGAGTTTGTGTAACTGTGGGTGAAATATATGTAACTGCTTGTGATATATGTACCTGCTTTCTCTCCTGATAGGTACTTTTGTCCCCAAAAATCAGCATTGGTGTCTCTATCAGAGTCCCCATAGCTGCTAGTCCTGCCACATCTCAAACCTATTGTCACAACATCACTTCTTACAGATTTGGCCACGGCATCAAAAAAGAAGTCTGGTGGCAACATACTAATTTCCAAGGCCTGGAAAAAAATAGGATGTTCTCACCTGGTATGGTAGGTGAGAAGTAAGAACTAGCTTTTCTCCCTAGAAGAATTTATTTTGTGAGAAGCCCATGTTAAAACTGCTTGGGCTGCTACAGCATCTTTGGGTACAACAGGAACTCTGAGTCAAAAACCCTCAAGAAGCCCCCAACTTATTGCTCTCTTAAAATTTTCCTGTGCCTTTTGAGGGATTGGTATTTTGCTGCCCAGGACACATTTTTGTGCTCTCCAGGCAGTGTGTTCTTCCAGACAGCCAGCTGTGCCAAAGAGACAGGGAGAAACTAAAAAAAAAAAAAAAAAAAATAGAAGAAATGGAAGAAGGGAGGTAGGATTATGACTTCAGTAATCACAGGATCTGTGAATTTCTTTATGGTTACAAGTTGAAATTGCTCATTCGCCACTGAGGAGTGAAGAAATAAAATACAGAGTGAGCATTTTGATGCCAGGGAAGGAGAAGGAGAGAGGGCGATCACTATTTCATTCCCTGTATTTTCCTCTGACAGGAATATTAATATCATTAGAGATAATTGAATAAGTGGATAGTCTGGTGGAGGTGCAGAAGCAGGAGGTGATCTGTAAAATCTATCCACACACAAAAAACTAAACACTGCTCTGGAGGGAGGGCACTCTGCCTTGGAATAGGGACTGAACAGCCTCACAAGGGCATGCAGCTGGGGTGCTTGTTGCTGTTTTGTTCCCGGAAAACGAGAACTGCCAGCAATCCTCTGGCATCTGAATAGACTCGTGTCAGACAAACTGTATCTGGACTTGATGGGAAACCAAGCTGGAATACCAAGCAGCCCTTCGATCTGCTGGCAGAGAGGGGGACTGGCTCAGTAAGTAATCTTGCCTTGCAGTTGCAAAGGTACTCCATAAAGGAGTGAGCCCTCTCGCTGCACAGCCCTGCAAGACACGCCTGCCTGGGCTGTCTCTGTCCTCATTCCTTCAAACCAGTTCCAACAATAACAGCAACTCCTGCGTGCAACTGCCTCATTAGAGAGATGTATTTTTCCTTTTTCCACTGAGAGATGAAGCTTCCAAATCCTTGTGATGTGAGCAGGTGAGGATGTCTGCTGACAAGTCCAAATGATATTTTCAGGTAAGTGCTTACCTTGAATGAGCAGATAGAGTGGGGCTCTTTCTTTTTATTACCCTCCTCTCAGTAATTACTGTAGCCCTGATTGTCAGCAAGCCTTATCACAAGCTTGAACAGCTCCAATATCTGTATATATTTATCGGAGTAGGGGATTTAAATAATTTCTAAAGCACCTATCCCTGTAGTATCTGTGAGTCTCTAGTGCAGTGTGAGAACAAATTGGGAACTGCTTGCTCTGTGAGTACATGACACTGTTCTTTTTGTATCACCTATTGTTTAACTCTCTGGAGGGCCAGAATTTAATTTTGATTCACAGGCTCGCTCTCTCAAAGTCTGTGGTGTAAGTGCATTTTAAAGCAGTAATAGTGGTCCACGATGTTTTTGTATCTTTAAAGGACTGTGAATTATTGCCACATGAAAACTGTAACTGCTGTTACTGTTGTTGCACAGGGAGTGTCAGCAAGAGCTGCTTAATTTGTGTTTGTACATGTGATTTCCAGAGCTTCTGCTGATGCTGTTTAATGTTACTGTAAATAGAGCTGTTACTCCGTGTGTCTCATTCCCTGCATTTTACCAAATGCTTGTGTGCTGAATTTCAGGTTGATCACTCGTCTAATACCAGGGAAAACATACAATAACTTGTAAGTGAATATCTGGGATTTCTGGCATGACAGATAGACTTTCAGAGTAGATAAATTTTCTATGCAGAGTAACCTACTTTTTTTTTTCCCCCTCAGTTCTGCAACCAATCACAGAGATTAAATTTGCTTAACTCTTTGTTTATACAAAGGCTGCTTTATTGTGAGTGAAAATTGTATTGCTTAGACAGACCACAAAGAAATGACCGTAACAGAAGTAATAATGCACACTTTGTACACAGTTTCCACCTATTAAAGATTCATTTTGCTCCTTGTAACATTTTAGGTTTGTTGAGGGACACATGAGAAGTTATTAATGTTGAGAAGAAAGCTTTTGTTTCATAAAGCTTTTGTTGTTGTTGTTTGAAGAGGTTAAGGTTAAGGTTAAGGTAAGCACACTCTTCTCTTGCTATTACTAAGACAGGAGCATGGAGAGCTTCAGCATCCCTCACTGCGGCCATGTGCACCTAAGCCCTGGGTCTGTAGATAATGGGTCCTTTGTAGGACAGCTCCCGTTGCTTTCCTTGCCCACGGCAGTCTGAAATAATGAGTCCAGCAGTAGGTCTCTGCACAAAAAGCTCTTCCTGACTTCCTAGAGCAAAAATGTTTGCCAAGTACTGCTCAGGCTGGCTCTGTTTGTCTTGCTGCAAGGTCCGAGGTAGCAGAGGCCAGAAGGGGTCAAACACCAGACTGAGCTCGTTGTGCATTTTCATTCGCTGTAGAAAATGTAAATGTGCAGATCAAAAGTTTCCACTGTATCTCTGGCAATTAGGACTTGATCCAAAGCTCACTAAAGTCGTTGGGAACCTTTCCACAGGCTTTAGAACAGGAGTTACATAAGTTTGTGTTGTTTAAAGGGGGTGCCCCAGGGAGGCTGAACGCATGAGCTGACTCGACAGCCACATGCCTGCTCTGCCATGTCAGGCAAAAAGGCTGTTCTCAAAGTGCCCATGAAGTGTCCCGTGCAGAACCAGGCAGAATTTACTCCTGAGTGGAAAAACCTTCTCATGCTGTCCTGTGCCAGGACACTGGCTCATCATGGAGCCTCCCAAAGTCCAGAGATAAAACAAAGAGCATAAACTGCTGAGGCCTGAATTGCTCATTTTTTCTGTTAAGGAGGGACACAGTTCTGTTGCTTGTGTGCAAATAAAAGGGTCACAAGGAAGTTTCCAAGTGGTAGAACCCTAAGGATTTCATAGTCTAGGAAAGCCAAGTACTCTTAACCCCAGACTTTTCTGAGATTCATTGAAGACATAAACCACAGTCTTTTAAAACATTGATGTAAAGGAACTACTTCATTTCCTTCACATACACAACTATACACACCATTTCCAGGCTCCTCATATGAGTGTACAGTGGAAAGAAGCACTGCAGGGAGATCCTGTTAAGATTTGAACCATTGCACCATGGGGTCAGGAAGTTTTTATGGCTAAATGCACATCCACACCCTCTGTGTACATTCTGCTGTCACTCTGCTGTGTTTCATCCTTGACTTAATTATTTTGTGCCTAATATGCCCTTCCTGGTGTGCTGTGCACTGTGCAAGACCACAGTTCACACCACAGAGATGTCAGGTCAATCAGCCTTCTTATTAGGGTTGAATGGATTTAATGTAGCCATAAAATTAGGTTCCAAAAGCATGAATTAATAGCATTTAAAACACAAACCAGTGTGATCTGTTCTGACCCTGAGCTCCTGTACCTTAGAAACAACCCCTTATGAAAAAGCTTAATGGTGTGAGCTGACCTTTGAAAATATTATTATTTGCTATAATGTGCTTGCATCAGTCTATATTACTGTTGTGCCAGTAGGATGTAAGGACTGCCAGTCCTTACTCCAAAGGCCTCAAGCTCTAAGTAAAATCAGCTCTAAGAGCCTTAGGCAGACAAAAATGAAGGCAAAGACTGCAGGACTGCACTTTGAACTAAACAAGAGCATTTGCTATCTCACCTGGAAAATCAAAGTTTGGCAAGGAGAGCTTGATAGCATCCAGAAGGCATCCTTTTACTGGTAATAGAATTGAAGGTAAGCTGAGGCACCAGGGAACAGCTGGCATTGTACCCACCAGGGCACCATGGTCCTTCACTTAGTACGGCTGCATTTGTGAAGCACAGAGGGAAGAAAAGGAAGGAACGTCACGGGTGCTGGATAAGTCCATTTCTGGGACAAATGCCTCCTGTGCCTGAGTACAGAAATTCAGAATATCATTTTCCCAGGCTTAAGCCAAAGTTGCCAATAAGGGCAGTCCAGTATCAGGGAATTCAGTAAGACCCCCACTTTGTAAGGCTTTGCCGTATCCTCATTTTGTATCCTCAATGATAGAAAAGTAAGTGAGAGCTCTGGGCAATCAAGTCATTGCAAATCCAGACAAAGCATGCTTGGGTGATGATGCAGAGCATCTAAAAATACCAATTCCAGCTTTACTTTTGCTTTCCAGCAAATTAATTCTACTTAAAAGGGCCAACAAAACCCACTGTGAAGTCCTTATCATCAGCTGTTCCTCTCTAAATATAGAGCACTGGCTATTTTTACAATTATCTGCTAAGCTGAATATTATTCCAGTAGTTAGGGGCACAGATTAGCTCTGGTGGTTCCTGAAGGAATTAGTGTGGGCCATCCAACCAGCAGAAAAAATGTCCTAAAAAGCTGTAGCTTATAGGGCCACAGTGGCTCTGCAGAGGCTTTTAAAGCAAGAGTGGCAGATGAGCAAAACCTGACTGCCGCAACCTGGGACAGCCAAATGTCATGGGAGTTATTGTTTATTGTCAGATAAATTACTTCTGATGTAGTATTTCCTATAAATATTTATTCATACTTTACAAGCCACCTAAAGGTACGAGCTAAATGCATCTGGTTTGCCATGCCTGATGTGCAGTGACCTGCTACCGCAACAGACTGTTCCAGAGAGACTATAAATGTTTATAGGGGCAAGCCTCAGATTTATCAGTATTTCAAGAAGTGGAGATGGATATTAGGTGGGTTTTCAGCAAAAGATCGGGGTTTCTAACCCCAGGGTACATTATGCATAAAAGCTGACAACTTCTTTATTCCTTCAGGAGTATCTTGGAGAAAAAACATTGATCCAACAGTGATGGATTTTTTTTGTGTGAGGTGTGAGAGAAGGTAGTTACACAAAGAACAATCAAAAATTCCAACAGGCATTACAACCATTATAATCTAGTATCTCATAGTATCTGCCAACATACTTTTATCTTGTGTGCTCAGAACAGCAAGCCCAAAGTTTCCTGGACCATTATCTCCACAATCCAAATCCAAAATAAATCGTCATCCTTTCCTCTTTGAATTTGTTCTGTGGCACCAACTTGTCTTGGCATGAAATATTAGCCATATGGACACTAGAATATCTGCTTTGACCTTGACCTCAGAATAAGCACTGCCAAATATGTGAGGATAACTCCTGCCTTTTATTTCCAAGAATGATGCTCCATGGGTACAGCCCAATCTGCTCTCCTGGTTGCATCTCAGTGTAGAGAATTCATGGGTTTTAATTTGAATAGGTGTTCTGCTAAGAGCATATTGTCTGTGGCTGTCTAGGAACTGGGAAGCAGTATCCCGGATGATGGTTTATTTGGCAGAGATATTTATTCCAGAAATTAAAAAAAAAAAGAGCTAATTTTAGCATCAGGCAGGGGAAAGTGCATTACTTGTAATTGGCTCTCACCATGTTATTTAGTCAGTGTTTCCATCTTCTGGATACCCTTCCAAGTAACAGGAGGCTGCTGGGGGCAAGATGAGCTGAATTTTTTTGGTTGCAGAGCTTTGCACTTCTCTGGTTCAGAAATGATGGGTAGTGATCACAGTAGAACATTTAGCTGGGTGAGAGGAACAGATACTGCTCCTTTGGTGAGTTCTTGCTACAAGTATTGCAATGATCATGCATGGGTGTGAACAATACTCAGGATTCAGAATAAATTCATTTCCTCACATTTGCATTTGCCCAACATGAAAAGAAACAAGGCCAGAAGACACCTAATCAGAGATCTTCTTTCATTTTCCCAAGTCCCTGTCTTCCTTTGGCCCATAACAGACATTCCCAAAGAGTGTAAAACTAAACGGCATAACAACACTCATGGAGAAAGCTGGCCAACTAGGAAGGGTAGAGCAGGGGGAGGTAAGCACTCCACAGTCCTGGCTGGAAGTTGATCATCACCCAGTTTGGAGACCTGCAGTTTTGACGAACTCATCTCCCTGATTTGTTAAGACCATGACAACATTTTTCACCCCGACGCTGCTGGTTGAAATTCACACTAGCACAGTGATAATGGTGCCATCTGATGATGCTCAGTGGACTGTGCAAAATGGATTTATTCCGTGTGCTTCCTGGTAGGCAGAGATCCACATTACACTCGACAGCTTCAACATATGGAAATGGTGACATGTGATTGATGTGGTCCCTGCAGGTCACGCTAACTCACGGCGTATTAGCCCTGCGTCCCGGGGAGGCTTATGCTACTGCAGCTGCCCACCTCCATTATCTGAACTAGGAATAAATGAAAGAATTGATGTTCCCAGCAGTGTGGATCTGGCACCTCCTGAAATTATGTGCAGCATTGAGGGAGGTGGGAGGCAAAATTCATACAATTCAACCCCACAGCACATGTGAGCACAGAACAGGTTACAACAAAACTTTGGTTATGGGTGTGAAGGGCAGTTGTGTTAAATCACAATAATCACAATGTTTTTTTAAATGGCTGGGATAGCTGTGTTTTCTTGTTAATTTTTGACATTTGGAGTGACTAGATTTTCCAAAGTCGCTAAGTAAAGCACAGCATGTGTAACCCAGGTAGCCCTCTCATCAGACATCCCTTCTTGACCTAATTTTCAGCAAGGCCTAAGCAGCTGCTCTTTCAAAAAACAGATTGCTTAATGGCAGCCAAGACTGGAGGCAGCCAAATTTAGGATTTTGAGGCCAAAGGAGTGAGCAGACTAAGGTTTCCCATAATGATATGGACATTCATCTGGACACCTCCTGGCCACGATGAAAATGAGAACGTCTGTTGTTTCTGCTCCTGAAATGTAGGATGCTTTTTAGCTTCTCCAGGGAAATCACCTGCCTATGGCATTTTAAAGCTTCACATGAGTCGATACTGCAAGGTCCTCTCTTTCTTTACTACAGAAATTCCCTGTAATCTTGCTCATCGCTTTCATGGCCATGGGGTCACCACAGCTCCTGCAGATTTGTCTTTCTCTTCCTACTTTTCAGAGAAGCAGACAAAGTTGGATGTTAACTCTTCTGTCCTTCTGCAGAACATGGAAGGTATTCCTTCCTGCCAGATACACAAGCCATGCTGTCCCCATCCACCCCTTCCTCCCCAGTATCTCACCCTCTTTTTGTTTTTTCCTCAGGTGTTCTACTGATCTTGGCACTGACAGAAGAGCTGGTGTTTTCTGTTCAGGTACTGTCTCCCACTGTCTCCTCCTCTCAGGGCTTCCCGATGAACACTACAACTATCACAGCCATGGGAACAACACCTCACCACAAAGACCACCACACGGCAGAGCCCCTTCCCACATCTGCTCAAGCCATGTCCCACCCCATCAGCCTGGTGGAGAAAGCCCCTTCTACCGGGCAAGAGCAAGAGAGTGGCCCTCGCATCGGCGAGAAGGAAACTTACCATTTGTACAACCAGAGTGCTTTGTACTCAGGACAGTCTCGCCCCAAGGGGAAAATATTCCAGGTTTTCAAAGGCAACTTCTCAGAGTCGACAGAGCCTTACCTAAAGACGACCCTGCACTCTCCCTTCCCTACCCTGAGGAGCCCTTTCACAGACCACCCGTTTCAGTCCCAGACCACAGCATCCAGTGATCCAAATGGAATGGGGCTGGCAAGAACTACACACTCAGACCCTTCTCCCCACCGCAACACCTCGGGAAGCCTTAGGGAAGCAGAGCGAGGGGATGGGACCGAGGTAGTAGTGCAGGAGGCAGATTTTGCCACCACAACTGCTGGACCATCAACTGATCCTGAAGCAGTGTCGGTGCCTTTTAAACCCACCCACTATGGCATGTGGGATATGCTGAGCAAAAACAACTCTTGGGTAACCTTGAATCTCAGTACAAATGTCCCTCTGTTTGCTGGCTCTGGATCTGCTACAGCAGCATCTGGTCACTCAGTTCAGACCAGTTTTGACGTCAGCATCTCGTCCCCGTCAGCGGGAGACCCCGAGGGACTCACTCCGACGCAGCACAGCGCGGTGACCAATGCCACGTCGCCGGGCAGTGCTCTCTCCTCAGTGCCTGCCACCAGGTTGTCCAGCTCCACCTCCACAGCTGGCTCCACCGCCACTGGGAACTTCCTGAACAGACTGGTTCCTGCCGGGACCTGGAAACCAGGTGTGCAAGGAAACATCTCCCATGTCACCGAGGGGGACAAACCCCAGCACAGAGCAACCATCTGTCTCAGCAAGATGGACATTGCCTGGATAATTCTGGCTATCAGCGTCCCTATATCCTCATGTTGTAAGTTAATTGCCACTTTATTTCGCTTTCTCTTTCTTTAATATTCAGATTTCGGCCCACGATTCAAGGACTAGCTGGAGGCCTAACAGAGGCAGGTCGCCTTGGGATGGATGAGATGTACAGGCATCACATTCACTGACCAGAGTGTTTAACTTCAAAATGCAGGACTAAAATGTTACAGTCAAAGCATACTCACTCTATTGTTATTCAAAATCTTATGGGGTAACTCTCCACTTGAGGGTGTAACACTAGCCTGAACAACTGTAGAATGTGAAACAGCTTTTCTCCAAACTGTTTAAGACAGTGAACAAAAACTTGATCAAAGACAGTGATCCTTTTAGACAGCAATTCTTTTATCTAGGAACTGGTATTTGCTACCCTGAAACTGGAATTAAAAAACCCACTGCTAACCCAAAGGATTAATAACATCTGTAATGACTAATAATTCAGGAAACACCAGTTTTCCAGTGCAATAAAATATTTCATTGCAGGTAGTGCATGAACTATCCGATTTAAAAACCTGATAACCAAAGTGCTGGTTTCCTCAGTTTTAATTCCAATTTACAGTTGCCAAAGGGAAAAGAAACCTTGGCTTTCAGACACCTGGAGTCAGCCACCTGCAGGACCAGGGCAGGTTGGGTTTCCAGAGCTGGCTCAGGGTCTTGTTGTTTGACTCAATTTCAAAAAACACATGGGAAATTATGAGCAAGCTTGTGAGTGCTTGCCAGGATGTCCCGTGCCTAGCTGGACTGTAGCAACTTGGTGGGACAACATATTCTCTGGGGTCTCACTGTCATGGGGTGTGATTATTCTGATCTGTCTGGAATGAAACAAAACCAAACATTTCCCAGCCTTTGCTGCCTGAGGAAACACAAAGGGGTAGCAGCCAACAACACCGAGTATTGATGCTGTTATTTACAGCTATGAGCTGCACTGAGGACAAGGCTAGATGAGCTGCCTGAGCCAGTCTCACACACAGCTTACTCCCACCAGAAAGGACAGTGCTGCTCTCTCCTGCCCTTTCTGACGTGCACGCACCTGATCCTGCCCCTCTCCTTCAGCCTGGGCCTGACTTTTCACCTTTTCACGAGACACTTTCAGATTGTTGAAGTGGCTAAAAAATATTCACATTTTGGTACTTTCTGTCCACCCAGTGAGCTGAATCAGCTCCCCACAGAGTCAGATGAGCATGAGACCCAGAAAGGATGAGACTGCAGGAATGCAGACCTGGAGAGGGGACCATACTAATCTTTCAGCAGCTGCAAATTATTGGATTGGGTCAGCATATTTGTTAGATTCACACCTCTGGGACCATCAATTCTGCTATTGCCAATGTGGTTAAAACCACAAGTGAGAACAAAGCTTAAGGCTAAAAGATAGGCAAAGAGGAACCAAAGCAGAATTTGCATGTGCATTTCTGTGCAAGATGGAGAAGAGAAACTGGATCTTAGCAAGCACGTGGTCAGAAGCAGCAATATTTGATGATTTGATGAACTATGCCTTGTCTGTCCATCAATAGAACTAGAGGATCAAATAAATTTTTCCACTAATTACTTTTTGGGCCAATATCCAGAAAGAAAGCTGAGCTGGGTAGAAGGCATCTAAATACAAAATAAGAAGTGCAAAACTATACAACACAAGCATCAGAAGCATAGCCAGTGGGGTGCGTGCAGAGTGCCATATATGAGTTGAATAATAATAACAGTAACAACAACAATAGTAATAATAAAATGAGAAGTCTGATAGAAGGAGTGCTAACGCACTGTTCATTAAATAGAGGTGTTAGCACTTTTCATCTTTTCATTTGTGCCATGTGTTCATGTGACTCTTCTGGTTCTTATATTCATAAGCTACATTTTTCTAAAAAAAAAATTCAAATGCTATTTTGAAAGTTATCTGTATCAGCTCTAATACAATTGAGTGTTTAAACGATTCAAGTATTTAAGTCCTGCTTTCAAGACCAGATTCCTGAGGATGACCTTCATTGGGACTCTCCTTTTAAAATCCGGGGATCCTCGGGTGTATGTCAGAGCTGAAATGAACGGCAGGCAAGCATTTACATGGTATGTTTTGGGGGTGATCTGGCTTTAGATGTAGGAAATTGATTCCATCCCGCCGTTTGGCTGTGTCAGGCGCACCGCGGGGACGCTGTCTCTCTCGACGGGCTGCGGGCAGCGCGAAGGGGACTGTCGCCACCTCCCGGGCACAAGCGCTGGCACATGCCTCTCTCCTCTGGCCTAGAGCGGGCTGATGCCGGGAGAAGGATGAAGAACAAATATTTGGGTTTCATTTCATCTTCAAACAGGGAAGAAGTTTTCCAAGAGAGGCTCTCGCGGTTGTTGTGGGCACGGATTGAGGAAAAAATATTGTCGTGCTCCTGCCTTGGGATGTTGAAAGGCTATAGAGACACAATCCTGTGCTGTTAAATATCTGAGCTGCCTTAGGAGGGATCAAGCCACAGGGGAAGTCACAGAGGACCCTGACATGGGGAGGTCAGGTGGCTCTGTGGGCTGTGAGCTGGTGGCTCTGCACTCAGGCTGGCACCTTGAGCACCAGGCAGAGAGACAGCCTCAAGGCGGGGAAGTTAGCCACACACCCTGCAAAAACATGGAAAGAGGTGAACAGAGGCAACCCAGAGCCTGTGCGTGAGGCTGCAGAGCTGCAGGAATCCAATTAACTCAGCTCCCTTGTCCTGCTAATGAGGGGTGCCCTGAGCCCATGCAGCTCGCTGACCTCTGTTCTGCTTTCCCAGAGCCTTTGAAGAGCTGTGCAATGACCAGAGCATCTCTCCTCTGCCAGGAGCCCTGTGTCTTTCCATATAATCTCTCCTCTGTGTGAGGAGTTACAAGGAGGCTGGAAAAGCTTTCTTTGGAGGGCTTCTGGGCACAGCTTGTGCTACCCAAAAATCTTTGGAAGGGGAAACACATCATGATACTGCAAAGATGTTTCTGTCCCTCTCTGATCCCTCCATGCTGCTTGCTGTCACACCTTGTAGTGACAGGCACCTGTTACATGAAAACCTGTGGGCATTTGAGCTTCTATAGCACGGGAAGTGACTTGCTGGAGAGCAACCACAGGAGCCTTTGGCTCCTCATCCCCACTGGAAGAAGTGCTTGGGTTGCCTTACTTCTCCTCACAGAGGACAGACCCTGCAGGGGTTTCCTTGCTGGCCCATCCCTGCTGTGGGGATTTGCACCAAAGAGCAGGAAGCAGCAGAGTGTTTGTTCAGCATCACTGTGCCCTGACATCTGAGCCCCACTGAGGACTGGCAGGTCCCCCCCAGGTGTGCTGGTGGCACAGCTCAGGGGCTGTAACACAAGCCTGAAATCTGTTACTCAAGAACTCACCTGCTTAAATAGGAGCTGGATTTAGCCTCCCACCCTTACAATTCCTACTTCTTTACAGATGCACAGAATTTTGAGTCCCACTGAAACCCCTGAAACTGCTAGCCAGAAGAGTAATGCTTTGAGTAGGAATGCACAAGCCATCTCTGCTGCATGAACCTAGGGAAATCATTTCATCTTTTGGCAGCTCAGTTTCATGATATAAATAATGAGAATAATGTTGCTAATGCCATGGGAGGGCTGCAAAAATGAAGGATTCTGTATCATTCCCTTTCCCAGAACAGCAAAATCATATATAACAGTGATGTAACTATTTTCTTCATGTCACAGCTTGGGTTGGTTTTGCAGTGTCCTTCAGGCAGCCTTGAACATTTTTGTGCACGTGCTGTTGTACATGTGTAGGTGCCTCTCTCTGCAATGCAGAACAAGAACAATATGAGCTCATTTTAAAACTCACCGTTCCAGTCCTTGGGCTCCTGGTGCTTGCGTCACTGTAACTACAGAATGACACAATAAAATGTGGAAGAACAGGAACTTGCAAATCAGATGCACACAAGTCAATTTAGCCAGCCAGTTCTGCTGACACAGGAGAACATGAGAGGAAGGCTGAGCCTCTCAATACAGGCATCAGCAGAACTCAGAGAATATGTGAAGAATTGCCTTGAGCCTAACCTCACTTAGCTCACATTTCATGCACTGGAACACTTTCCAAAATTACCTCACCTTCTCCATCACAAAAGCTATGCTTGCTTTCTGGTCTGAAGCGAGAGATCCCAAGCCCTGAGCCTAATCTGCAGGTGTGAACTCTGAGCTGGAGTGACTCCTGTCTCCAGATGTCAGCAGCTGTAGTCAATAACCAAATCCATCCTGATACCTTTATCACAGCTAAGTATGTGCTGCTACATATAGGAAACCAGGGAAATTGAAGGAAATACAGAAAAAGCACTTTTGGTCATTGAGAGAAGGCTTCTTTAAACTTAGATTATGTTGTGACCTGCAGGCATAGGGAGAAGTAAATGAAGATTCTTCACCCTGAATATTGCCTGACTTTTAAGTGCTTACAGTTTCAGGTCTGTTAACACTGTGTTTTGTGTGGGGGCTGGAAAGTGGGGGAAGGGAGTATGCAGCTGTGTAAGATTGGTAAAATATTTTAGTGAGTTGAAGGGAAAGACTGTCAGAAAACTGTAGGGAATTGGTATGATCTCATTACACTGCATTAATGAAGCTGGATTGAATGTGGTATACAGTCATAGTGGGTTATATTTAAAAAGAAAAAACCACCAGAAGATTAGAAAAGAGAAATGGAATGACTTAGGGGTGGAGAAATGCAACATAATTCCACTTGTGCCAAGATGTAGACAAAAAGAGGCTGAAGCCTAAATATATAGGAGAGATTTCTGACAGCATAGTGGAAGTTTTGAATAAAAACAGGCAAAAGAACATGGAGGAAGTAACGGCTGAAGGTGAAGGTATTTATACAAGAGTAATGTAAGCATGTCCCCACAATAGAAATTAAACATTGAAACAAAATTTGTGGGAATGGGATGGACATCTGGTCACTCTGTATCCTTAAATAAAGCTGAGTATTTTCCTATGAAATGTGCTGTATCTTAAATACAGATTATGTTAAAGGTAACAGGTGAAAGTCTCCTGGTGTGCAGGTGCTAGGTGGGTGACAGTAGGTGATGGACATGTTCCCACCAGCCTGGGAACTTGTAAATCTGTGAGAATCTTGTTTCTCACATTTGTGGGACGTTTTATGTCCTGTGTCATGGCTGGGGGGACAGATAATGCAGATGTAACTTGCCCTATGGCCAAAGAATGTCCACCGTCAGGGCTGGAGCTCATCAGCAGCCAGCTCCTTAACATGTGAAAAGACATGGGTTAGAAATGCTTCCAGAATCTCTGAACCTCCAGAGACCCCTGATATTTCCTAACATGTGTCACAGTCTCTGTACAAGGGACTTCAGGCTCACACAGGGACAATGCTGACACGTCCTTCTCAAGGCACTCTCTGTTGACTTAAACATTGAGTAGGCAAAGGAAAGTTAGTTGAGCTTTTCTGATTCCCAGAAAGCAACCAGAGGATTGCTTGAAATCCAGGGAAGAGTTAACCACATAAGGCACCAGGATACATAACCAGGGTGGTGCAGCTGCTAGTTCTCTCTTCAGCTCTGTTGTTGTCATTACTGCCATTTGTGCCTTCCAAACCATCTCTGCCCTCTGTGTATTTCATCCACCTAATACGGCCTCCCTGGCCATTAGAGTTGTTGTCTGAGTTTTTTTGTGATACATGTAAGTCTAATTATGAGAACAAAAGGATATCTAAGAATATAAAAGCTGTACCCTGGTTCTAGTGTTCTGGAAGTGGGAGGTCCTATGTTGGCTACATTAATTTCACTAAAATATGCCCCAAATATGGCATGTTATGTGGTAGGTGTGGCACTTAGTGCCATTGTTTAGTGGTGGATCTGGCAGTGTTAAGTTAATGGTTGGACTCAACATTCCTAAAGGTCTTTTCCAACCTAAATTATTCTATGATTCTGTGAAAAGGGCATTTAATATAAGATGAAGAGGGACTGACCCCATTCCAGCCCTGCTGTCCTCACTCACCCTCTTAAATGAGGTCTCCTCTGCTTTGGATTGGGGCAGCTTAGATAGACATCCTTCTGCTAAAATACACATTTGTGGAAGCTCAGGAACCCATTTTCCATGCTCTTCCATCCATTTTCTTGTGTGTGCACCACGGTTGGAGGCCAAGAGTGTAATTAAGAGAGGGAGAATTATTGCTGTAGGTATCTACAGATGGCAAGGCCATTTCCTGCTGGAAGAAGCTGGGATCTCTCTCAACTCAGTGTCGCCAGCTTTCCAGCCCCTAAACCCCAAATCCTCTGTCAGCAGCCACAATATTTCATAAGCTATAAAACCTTTGGCTTTCAAAAAAAATATTTGCAGAGTTGACTTTACTGGGGCTCTCACATCCTCAGGCATCTTTCAGAAATGCTCTGTGCCTGTGGGATGGATCTCTTGTTGCTGGAGTGCTGAAAAACTCCAAGGACTGTTGGTTCTCACCAGCAATGGTGAGGATTAAATGAAAGTCCTGCATCACTTTCTAATCTTCCCAAACCTGCAGGCTGGGCTGGGACATGGAGAGGGTAGCAGCCAAAGTAGGAATAAAAGGTGCAGCCCTTCAGGAGGACAGGCATTTCCCCAGGCAGGGAGAGAAGTTCTGGGGGTCCATGAGGTGCAGCAGAAGGATTCAAACTATTGGGCTGTCAGCAAATGAAGTCGTTAGTGACAGAACTGCCTGAACTGAAAGACATTGATTTTTTAAAAAATTATTATTCTTAGTAGTTTATCCTCTTTTTTTTTTTTTTTTTTTTTTTTTTTTTTTTTTTTTTTAACTGGAGCTCTAGCCTTGCACTTTTGTGTTGCTATTTTTATGTGGTAGATGGGATAAGGAATTAGATCCGTGGCACATGGGTAGCTGCAATGTTTGTCAAAACATACATAGCAGCAGTGATCTCTTTGCAGTCTTTTCTTTCCTCTGAGTTATCATTCTAATACATAATTTTATCTGTAGCTGAGGGAATAATATATTTTTCTTCTTCATTAATATTTTCTGTCTTCTACCATGAGGGATTTAAAAATGATAGAGGCAATTTACAGCTGGGCATTTCCTATTTCACAGGTACAAATAAAAGCAAGTGCATGTGCAGCTACCTGTCTGTATAAATCAGGCAGATTACAAACACAACTGGCCAATGAATTCCACAGGTGTAAGGGAAGCAGACAGAGCTCACACATTACAGCTCTGAGCAAACCCTTGCACACATCCCAGCTTCTGCCTGAGCAAGGGCTGGTGGGAGCAGTAAGTCTGCTGCTGTGGGTTTGCCTGTCTCTTGTAAAGTTGCCAAGATTACCCATCTGAATGGCAACAGAGATGAATAAACTGAAAGCACTTCCAGAAAATAACACTCAGCCAGCTTTTTGTTCAGCTGCCTGCTGGGAGAGAATTACCTGGGCATTTCTGGGGCCCAGGTATTCCTGTGGCCCTGGGACCAGACAGACTCCTGACCATCAGGAGTTTTACTTGCTGGTCACTATGTCTTGCCTAACTGCTCTACTTTAAGTTCAGATATTTCAGATTGTAAAAGCTTAAGTGTGCTCTGCAGGTGAGGAAAAAAAAAAAAAAAAAACAACAACAAAAAACCACTCTCAGACATTACCCAATGCCCAGGCAAGTGTGGGGGAACAGGTTACCCTTATCAGTAGATTCCACATCCCAAGGCTGATGGAGACAGGTAGGAAAACTCCAGCTCTGGTGTTAACACTATCCTGGAAATGTAAGGTATGTGAGACTGGTGCCACAGGGGATCTCCACAGCACCTTACCCCTCTATCATCTTACTCAGGAACCCATCTGTTCCTCTGGCTGGTTGCTGATGTGTTGGAACATGGTCACAAACCAAAATCCAAGTTACAAATGGCAGGCAACAGAGGCAGGGAGCAGTGGCACTTCAGAAGCTTTTGGTATTGAAGCCACACAACTGCGGGATTTATGAATTTGCTATTTGAAATAGGACAAGTATCTCTCACTGCCCACTTGCTAATGTGCTCATCAGTGCAGCCTCTGAACACACCAGATGCAGAAAAGATCCCCGCAGAAGCATCTTAGTCCCTGAGGAATGCCCTCTCTCCTAGAGGGTCTATAAATCCCTGCTTAGGTATTAAATTGCCATCAGTTACAACAACAAAGCTTTTCATTAATCAGGCAGCCACATCTTGAAGATTATACACTCACATCAATAAGAAAGCAAAAACTGCATATGCTGCCAAGCCCAAAGCCTCATCTGCTTGGCCCAGATTCTGACATTATTGTGTAGGGTTTGTTAGCAGAGAGCTGGGACTGACTGAGACTGAAGGGTATGAATGCAGGTCACCAGCCCTCTCCTTAAGTAACATGAAGTACAAATCCGTGGTACTGATGAGTCCTTATTGAAAGGAAATAACCAGATTTTTGGCATGTTTCTATTGACAGCAGTTCTGCTGACAGTCTGCTGCATGAGAAGGAAGAAGAAGACATCTAACCCAGAGAACAACCTGAGCTACTGGAATAATGCTATTACCATGGACTACTTCAACAGGCATGCTGTAGAGTTACCAAGAGAGATCCAGTCATTGGAGACTTCAGAGGTACCTCATTTGCAGAGCTGGTGTCCGAAAACTGTAGCTGAAGCCATGCTGGGAGGAGGGGAAAGGAAGTCATACAAATAAAGCTTTGAAATCCCTACACATGTTCAGGGGAACAGCTTTTAGGGAAAGACTCACTCCTACACACATATTAGATGGGATAAACATCTCAGCAAAACTGGATTGCCATCCTATTCCCAGCCACTGCAGATGTGTTCCATATTGCTGCTTGGTGATGGGCTTTAACCATCTCTTGGTGAACTTGTTCCTGGGCTTCTCTTCCTTGTGAGCCTACAGCCAATGTCAAGCCATGCCATGATGGCTTAAGGAGAGCCCTTTGGGTTCCCTCTTGAGAGTTCTTTGGGTTTGGCTCATTACTGACAGTCAGCCTACTGTGCATGTGCCACACAGCATAAAAAAAGGAAGGCTGGTGGGAGTTAATAAAACAAAGAAATTTTGTACGTTTATGTCTCAGGAGCTGCCTGTAACTTCTCAAACACCAGTTCAGGGAATGAGTGTTTCCACTACAAAAGTAATCAGAACATTAGTGTGTGGGGGAGGTTGGTGGTGTGGTGTACACTCATCAGCCTTTACTTAAGGGATCTGACTGGTTTGGTGGGATTATTCACACATGAGCAGGTGATCCTACTGATAGAAATCTATTCCCTGGCCTCAGAGACAGAGAATAATTCAGTTTAGTTCAAAGATAATTAAAACCTAGAAACAGTGAAGAGTCTGAGTTTATGCTAAAATGATTTTCAAATCAGCTAGCTGACTAGCTCATGTGACTAAATTAAAAAAAAAAATTAGAAAGGAACCTCTGAGATGTGATTAGACAGTCACAGTCACTTCATTAACCCCACTTTGCTGGCAATCATGTTGCTCAAGCTAAGGCAGGACCTGGTCTAGCTTGCCCAGAATCAAATGTCAGGCCTATTCACTTACAAGGTGGTCTTCAAAAGCTGTCTCATTTAAACCTGATCGGACTATGACTGAACTGGGGCATGCTCGGGTGGCTTGAACCCACATATGTAGCTTTCTAACCTTAAAAACAAGTTGAAAATGCCTCTTTGAGGAGTCAAGCCCAGCTGAGAGACGGGAAATAATTGCAATGAGACAATAAAGTGGAAAAAAAAAAAAAAACCAACAAAAAAATAACCAAGAAATGTGAAAGCTCCAAAGGGATTGGAAGTTTGGTGCAGCTGACTTCTGGGTCCCCAGGCTGAGAAAGAATCAGCAGACCCTCAGAGGAACTTTTCACTCACAGCTCCTCCTGCCTGACCAAGGGAGAAACCAGCTCACCAAACCCGGCTCTCCAGAGTCACAGCCCACTACATTCAGGCACCTTTGGGGGATTGGGAGGAAAGCCCTGTGTGCCATGGAGAAGGGTGTGAAGTGTTCAATCTGCTTCTTTGTTTTTCCCCTAGGACCACCTGTCCGAGCCGCGCTCCCCGGCCAACGGCGACTACCGCGACAGCGGGATGGTCCTGGTGAATCCCTTCTGTCAGGAAACACTCTTTGTGGGACATGAGCAAGTCTCTGAAATATGACCCCACAGCTGCCCCCGTACTGCAGTTTCATCTCTACTGTCTCCAAATTATAAATAAATATATATATATTATAAATATAACCTTTGTGTAACCCTGAACTACGAGAAATGTTTTCAGCTTTTCTTTTGTCCCTCAGAATTGTCAGCCCCTTTTTTATAAGTGTGGTAAAACTTTACAGAACAAACTGTGGCTTTATAAAATAAAGGTATTTCTAAGCAAAACATCTGTCAAGTGGACTGTATCCTTTCCGTGACTCCAGTACTGCCTGAGCACCAGCTGGGGTGAGCCCTTTACTGTCCCACTTCCAGTCTGAGCTCCAAAACTCTTTTGTATAAGCAAGGACAAGAATGCCTCTTTTTTCCTGCATAAGTGTTTTAACCACAATACACATTGGACTTACAGCTGCTATACTTCAGCCCAATAAGCCTAGAATTATTTCTCAAAGATCAAACAGCCTCAAAAGAAGGAATGTAGAGTGCTCCCTTCAAAGGAACAGAAAATTCCTTTCAATTTATCAAAAAAATCATGCAATCTGGTGACTAGGGATTACCACCAATTGAATGCTGTGGCTTTGACCACATTTTCACTTCCCCACTGTTTTATTTATCTTGTGTGTTTAGACTGCTGGTGCCATTGAATTAAGTTTCCTCATACCCTCTTCCCCTCTCTGGGGCTTTCCTCCTTAGGAAGGAAAACACAGAATTTTGGAGCAGAATGGCTATTCTTTTCTACCCTGTTAAGTGCTAGATTGCAGACTCTAACAGTATTAGGGGAATAGTAAAGGTGAACAAAGCTTAAATGATGGATTAAAAATAGGTTGCTGCAAGGCGAGATTAATATGGAACATGGAATGACTTGGCCCAAATAGATGCTCTCTCTCTGAGTAACACAGAACTGTTACTGTGGGACCAATTCTCAGTTTTGCTTCTCAAATTGCTTTTTTATATCATTCAGCAAGTGAAATGGCTTCTGTCCTTTGAAGTCTTGTCCTCCTTCTCCCCACCTCTAGCCACCAGTTCTGCTAGACAATGTTCTGCTTTCACTCCTCACTTCATCAGGAGCAGGCTGTGAGGGGCAGTTTAGCCTCTGCTCCAGCTGGCTGCTCCCTGCCACTGGCTGCTCAGGTTTAATGCTTGACTGCATGAAAGGGAAGTTCCAGCAGGACAGGGTTAGTGTAGCATCATTAACCATATGCCTTGCTCAAGATGAGCCACAGCTGGTACTAGAAAAGGGACTTACAGCAGTGGCACATCTGGTCCAGCTGTTCCCACTTGCTGACAGTGTCCCAGTGGCTCCAGTTTCTTGGGGCAGCATGACAGCTTTACTAAATGATGGCTGGAGTCAGACCCAGACTTGGCTCAGGGGGCCACATTGCTCCTCCTTTCTCCCCATGCCACACGTGCACTTCTGCTGTGCCAAGGCACAAACCTGAATGTGGACTACAATCTTCTGGAAGATTGTAATGTTACAGGGACTCTCCTGGATATTTGTTTCTCTGCTCAGCATCAGAGAGCAATGCAGGGCTTTCTCATGAGGTGATGGGGCAGGCAGGATGACAAGGCTCTGTGTGGACATGGATAGGCACTTTGGGAATAGATCTCTTCACCATGGGATAAATGCTATGCAATATGATACCTCATGATTGATCCTAATGATCAATTACTAAACAACCTCCTAGAAACCACTGTTTGATAAAAGAGTGAAAATTCCTGAGGGTATTGCCAAGAGCAAAAGCAATCCCACAAGGATCTTTGCTTTTGTTTACAGAGGGAGGTGGACAGAGGGAACAAGGTTACAGAAAATGAAATTCAGATATTTGAAAAAAGAGCCCATATTATTACATTTGTTTTCTGTACATGGTATTACTTTTGCAAGGGAGATTTTCTAATTTGACACAGAGCAACTACACTGAAAACACTATGTGAGAAATACTGGAGGATGCTTCCCATTTAACCAGCACAGTTTGTTTGGTAATCTAAAGGCAGAATACCTAAACTAGCCAAAAGTATTTGCAAAGCTCAGAGATGCTCCGCTGTTCCCAGTCTTCACACAACATGGAAATGGTGACCTGACTTTAAGCAGCCTTGCAATTCTCCAACTTAAAAAAACAAGCGAAACAAACTCCAGCCATCAACCCAGCGAGCCAGGATTAGGCACCAGTGGAAGACAGGGATTTCTGATTGTATCGTGTCTCGCCAAAGACTCACCACTGTCCCTGCACAAACCTACACTGCATTAGGGCAATGCCCAACATCAGCACATTGCAATCGTGCTACAAAGATACACACACGGTGATCCTACACTGGAACAGCATCCTGGCTGTGAAGTATCCCTGTGCGTAGGTAGAAAAAGCCAGACCTAATATTGTGTTGAAGGATTGCACTGTAACGAGAACACATCCTACTTAATTACTTATTATTACCTATAAACTACCCACCTGGTCACTAGTAGCTAAAGAATAGTGACATAAAAGGAATAGCAGGGGAATCTTCCCCTTTCCCTGCAATAAGTCTCTAGGATTGTTTTGCCCTCTTCTTTTAATTCACAGTTGCCTCACTTTGTCACCATGTGATGCAGGCAAAGAAGTGGAACAGGCCCTTGCTGAGCAGACAAAGTGCAATTGATTATGTGAAGTTAAACTGACTGAGAAGGGGTGGACATGAGGTTGCTGGTCCCTATAAAATCTGCTGGGATTATGTCAATATGCCTCGGGTAGGTGGTGAAGCCAAATTGCAGAGAAACCCAGAAGCTGCAGCAGACCCAAGGGAGCATTCGATGCTCTGCAGTGGCAAAAGGCTGGCTCGGCTCTGCTCAGCTGTGGCCCAGGTGACTCCACAGAGGTTTGGGTTTTGCTAAGTTAGGAAATGTCTTGCTGACATAGACTATGTCTGGAGCAAGCACTGGTGTGAGAAGCAGATGTATTTGTAGTATATAACTGAATACCTGTGGCTGTAAGGGTAGGAAATCACCCGGGTGTCAGCGTAGAAAACACTGCTGGTATTTCAACACGAGCATTGTACTGAATCCCCGTCCCGCTGTCCCCGTAAACACCATTGTGCTTTTCATCTGCCACATTTGCAGCAGCAGCAGCAGGGAGATTTCCCCTGAAATGGGATTGCTGACCCAGCAGCCGCCCGGACAATGTGACGGGCGCTCCCAGGCAGCACAAAGCCCCCCTTCCAGAAAGCCGTCGCACAAAGCCGAAATCCCAGGCGAGCCTCATCCTGCTGGGCTCGGCACATCCCTCCCGCCAGTGCGGGGCCAGGAGGCCGGGCTGAGCGGCGGTGCTCGGCAGGCTGGAGCGACGACATGCCCTTGCCGAGGCGCCGGTCGTCCTTCCTGGGGCAGCAGCCCTCTACCTCCGCGGCGGAGAGCTCGGGGCCGCCCGGCCGCCGGGTGAGCGTCGGAGGTGGAGGGAGCCTGTCGAGACCGCCCGGCGTCTACGTGGGCACCGTTCCCACCGGCGGCGTGAGCAGCCTGGGCACCCGAGTGTCCCGTAGAGCCCTGGGCATCAGCAGCGTCTTCCTCCAGGGTCTCCGCAGCTCGGCCGCCGCCGTGCCCCTGGCCCCGGGGCTGGATAAGGGCAGGGGTCTCTCCTACGAAAGCCTGAATGGCTGCTTGGTGGAGTACATCGAGAAGGTGCGAGCTCTCGAGCAGGTCAACCAGGAGCTGGAGGAGCACATCAGAGTCTACCTGGACAAGAAGGCGGCCAGCGTGAGCAGCTGGGGAGCGCTGCGGGAGAACTGGGAGGCGATTTACCACCAGGTGAGCGCCGGAGCGCCGCCGGAGCGGGAGGGAGCTGCGCGGGTCATTAGCAGCTCCGGGCGGCCAGGGAGAGGCTGCTCATGAATGCCGTCTGATTTCAAGGCGAGAAGCCCTAGACAGAGGGTTTAAAATCTATCTTCATGATAATTAGCATTATTATGCCTATTAAGAGGGAGAATTGCCTCAGGCATCCTGCGCCTGGGAGCGATTGAAATGCACCCCAAGGCGCCCGAAGTCTGGGCTGATCAGGACGGGTGGGGTTTTTTTCCTTTCTTTTTATTCTTATTTTAAGTCTGTGGTTATTACAGTGAGTATCAAAATTATTGAAAGAAACCTGCTAGGACTGAATTAGGTTATCTTTCAACATGATATTGCAAGCACATTGCGGGTTTCGTTTTTTTGAGAAATTCAGATTTTTACTTTATTCCCTTGTTGGCTTAATAACATTTTCAAAAGCTCTATTTATTTAAAAATAATAATTACATGGCTACAAATGAGTGACTCCCTTCCTTTCCTCTGCCATCACCCCAGCATCCCTTACTCCCACCTTCTCCATACGGCACAGATATTTATTGTAGGGGTGTGAAATGGTGTCTGCATTGACCTCATGGACAAGAAGGAGTTCCTTTTACTGGCCAGTAAGGCCTTGCAGGCTGATGTCCTGCTTGCAGCAGACACAGGGCTCTGTCTGCTGAGGTCTTGGTGCACCACACAAGCCTGGCTTCCCAGCTCCCAGCCAGTGGCAGCAGACAGGATTCCAAAGACCTGGAGTCCGGCATCTCGCACACCTTTTCCCAGCAGCACTTGTGCAGGCACAGAAAATGCCACCATTGGGTCTTCAGAAAGCTTGAAAGCCAGCTTTAAGTCTCCTGGGACAAACGTGTGTTTTAACTTGGGCTGGCCAGTTTTACTTTGCATTTTTAGGGCAGGTATTCTCCCAGAATGCTACAAACGTTGCTTGAACCCTGAATGTGTTGGCATAAGCTGTTGTACAAAGATCATGTCATCAGAAACACTCAGTTAAGCACCAGCTTTTAAAGTTGCTACCTTTTAGTATTAATAAATGATGTTATTGCTTCCTGAAAGGAGCAGCTGCTGAAGTAAAGGGGTGCTCTGAATCTGGGGAACAAAAAGCCATCTCCTTGAACCTATTATCTCACTGGGGACGATGGGGACTTTGATAGTGGAAAGGGAATTAATCCTTTGCAGCCACCATCCCGTGTTCTCCACACCAGTGTTGCATTTTGTAGTTGTAGACTTGACCTGTAAATGCTACCAGGATTTATGGTTAAGCCCAAAAATGAGGGACCATAGGAAAGGACCATTTGAAAGGACCATTTAGAAAGGACTGCTTGATTTTTCGTTATATAAACCCCCAACATTGCAGTGCAGATCAACCTGCAAATGTGATAATTCTTCATCCAAATTGCTTTCCTTTCAACATTCCTTTGTAGTC